AAATACAAAATAGGGCTGAGAATGTGGCTCAGTGGTCGAATGCCCCTGAGTTCAATCCCCAGTACAAAAAAAAAAAAAAAAAAGAGGGGCTGATTAACTATATTCCCAAAGTAAACACTAAGCAGTTAATAAAAGCAAATGAAGTAGTCATGTGTATATTGATACATAAAAGTATACACAATATAAAAGAAGTGGAAAAAGCAAGCTGCAGACAGTCTATGGCATCCCATAGGTAAGAGTGTCACCCATATTAACCTATGTCATTATGCGTTCCCAACTCTGTGGTTTGCTGGAAGACTCTGTGGAAGGATATTTTCAAACTGTTCTTGGTAACTACCTCTAAGACTGAGATTTGAAGGAAAGAATGGAAAATGGGGAGGTTTACTTTACAAACTTCCAAAGCATTCTATTTTTAAAAGCCGTACGTTATCATAAAATTTAACTTTCAAAAGCTTTGCACACTTTTTTGGGGGGGATGCTGGTGCTGGAACCCAGGGCCTCTAGCATGCTGAGTGTGTGCTCCACTCCCCGAGCTACAGCCCCAGCCCCTACATGTGTGTTTAAACACATTTCTTTAAAGCTCACCATGTGCTGAACACACAAAATGCCACAGGGCAAGGTTAGCAAGAAACCAGTTCAACAGCACCTCGCCTCCATAGTCACACAGGCCAAACGGGAAGGTCCTTGAAGATAGGGTCAGGGGTAGGGATAGCCCCCATTTATCCGGTACATAGAAGATATTCAGTAAATCCTGCTGAACAAGCGGAGAGCTGTGTGAGCAAAGGAAGGCTTCTGGTCAGGACCTGGGTTGATCTGTGATCCCAAGTCCCACCACACCCTTTCATAGCCCCGTTTTGCTCATTTGCAAAACCCCACGTTAGAGTCTTCACCATCTCTTCTGGATGCCTTGAGCTCGTTCTGTGTCATAGGTGCATGTGAAAAACAGGTACCTATCAGCAGGTGGGGCATGTCACTTCCAGTCTGAGGCTGCCATCCGTGTCATCAGAGCCCCCAGGGCTGCAGGGATGGCAATAATGGAAGACTCCCTGTGTTGTACTCTCTGTGCGGCTTCTCAGCCCACGCTGTTTGGAAGACTGCTCCGGAGAAGTGTGAGGCAAAGCTTCCAAGTGGTGTCTCATTAGTAACTACATGTGCTGAAGTGTGTTCTCCCAAGCACATCAGCCCCACACCCCGCCCACCAAGGAGCCAGCCACGGACCTGCCATTGCCCGATACTTAGGTACTGCCCCAGAACACGGGCACTGAACGCAACGCGACACATCCCTGCCTCTGGCTCTCCAGGGGTGAGTCTTCTCTGATCCAAACATCCCGTAAAGGACACTTCAGCAAGAAAAGGTTGAGATCCAGTCACTTGGTGTCCTGGTTGCTTATTTATTATCAGACGCTTTTCTTACTGAAGAAGCTCTTGTTTTTATCAAAACCAATAATGCTCGGGAATGCATGACTATCTGTTCTTATTTTCACTTCATTTCCTTTTCGTTGACAACCTAGGATTACTCCCAACTCTCAGATGTTGGCGCCCAACCAAGGTCTGGCTTTGAAAATCGATAGTCCCCTCTCCTTGAGCTATGATACGTTTTCCATGTCAGGTATTTTAAATCTCTTCAGAAGAAAAGATGTTTTCTTTATTTTTTAAATTTCTGAGTTGTGGTACTATAGAACACAAAGATCATCATGCCCATGTACAAATCTCTTTGGTGGCCCTCTGAAGCACTCAGGGTGAAATCCAAAGTCCCTGCATGGACTATTCCACACTCTGTGATCTACCTGGCCTCCTTCTTCAGTCTCACCTTGAGCCCATCTTCCGCCACACAACAAGCTCCGGCAACTACCCTTCTTTCAGTTCATCCAACTTGCCAAGGTAGCTCCTGCCTCAGGGCCTTAGTATCAGCCCAGAATGCTTCTTCCCTTCACTTCTTTTTAAAAAAAAAATATTTTTAGTTATAGATGGACACAATACTTTTATTTGTTTATTTTTATGTGCTGAGGATCAAACCCATTGCCTCATATGCTAGGCAAGTACTCTACTACTGAGCCACAACCCCAGTCTCTCCCTTCACTTCTTACCTGGACAATTCCTACTCATCGTTCAGTTTTCCAATTAAATATTAGCTTCTCACTGCATGTCTATAATCCCAATGACTTGGGAGGCTGAGGCAGGAGGATTGCATGTTCGAGTCCAGCCTCAGCAACTTAGTGAGACTCTTTCTCAAAGTAAATAGTAAAAAAAAGTTGGGGCTGTAGCTCAGTGGTAGAGCAGCCCTAGGTTCAATGTCTAGTACCAAATAAAAACAATCAGATTGTCAGAGAAGCTTCTCTGAGCTCCTAATCTAACCTATTTTCTCTTCTTGTAATTTGTGTGTGTGTGTGTATGTGTCCTTTCCTTTTGTGGAAGTTATTGTGCCTGGCTTACTGGTTTGAAGTTTACCCCTTATTAGACTTTGAACTCCAGATGATGAGAATCATGACTGTTTTACTGACCATTGCTAATCTCAACAAATATTTGTTGGTTAAATGAAAAAAATAAAAAGTAAATGTCATTCCCTCTTCTAATTAATTTAGAAGGTAGACACAGTGAGTGAGGGAAACCAAGTCCCTTTCTCACTTATAATTCAAAGCAACCTGTGTGCTACAGGGGAGATTAGAGGTGAGGATTTGGATTGAGGGCAAGTACAGGACTTGGCACATGGGGACTAGTGTTAGACCCAAGAAAGGACAGAAAAGGTGTTATTCGGAAGGGGGTGGGGAGAACTATTTGTATTAAGGAAGTGGGGCCAAGAGCAGATGGACCACTGGAAATTGGGGAGGTTATGTGAAAGGTCAGGAGGACTTTGGAATGTCAAGTGGAATGGGGAAAGTCAAGGCCAGGTTGATCGGGTGAGAAGGAGGCTGTTGGACCCGGAGAGGGGAGAGAAGTCGTGTGCACAGGAGTCGGAGGGCTGGACAGGCCTCCTGCAGCAACCTTAGCTGGGGTCCAGGAGAAATGGTGGAAAGTTCCAAGGAGGCAAACTGAACGCAAGCCTTATGCTGTTCCACAGAAGGAAGTGGCCATGAGCTCTGCCCAGGGGAAATACACGGTACATGACATGAACAGCAGAGCATGAGGATGAAAGGAACTGCCCTTTAACCCCACACAGCAAGGTGACAGGGCCACTGTCAATCTCCTGTTATGGACAGCCTAGGAAAACAAATGAGGAGCCAGAATGGAGCAGGCAGAGGCCACGTTACCAGTCCCTGTCCTGTACACCATGCCACTATCGCTTCTGACTGGCTGCCCACAACGACCATGGTGACTTGGGACTGTGCTATTCTCACTGCCCTTTGGACATTCTGTTTCTGTATAATCTCAAAAAAAAAAAAAAAAAAGGCTAGCTGCCAACCTGTTTCCCCATAAAATGTCAGTAGAAAATGCTGGACATTTCATAGTCATAATAAAAAATAGTCATGATAATAAATAACAGATCGTAGTTACAGAAAATAGGTGATATTGAGTATATTTTGTGCTAGGCTCTGTCCTAAGAATCACCCCCCCAACACACACACTAATTTGTCTTAATAAATGTTCACAAAAATCACATGAAATAGTTACTATTAATATTCTAATTTTCCAGATGGGGCAAATGAGGTCCAGAAAGATTAACCCCCTTCAGCAATGTGTCCAAGGACTCAAACCCAGATACTCTGACTCCAGAGCCCAGCTCTTAACTGCTCTCTAGATTTGAACATAGCTTATAATTTACAAAGCCCTTTAGGAGATATACAAAAATTATCAGATCCTCTTAGTCATGCTTAATAGGGAGTAAGAAATATCTTTGTCTCCATTGTACAAATGGGGAAACTGAGGCTCAGAGATATTAAAATATTGGCATAGGACATCAATAGCACCAGTAGCAGGTAGGGCCTGAAATCCACCACTCCTAAGGCCACAGCATCTCTCACCATGCTTTAGCAAGCTTGTTGGTGAGGATTAAATTGCATCCACACGATCAGATACGCAGAGAATAAAAGCAGCATCTCGGTGTATGGGGCTTAGCATGAAGGTCCTGATACCTGAAAACATGACATTATCTCCAATGTGAAATATGATTTCATGCGGCTCCAATGTCAGGGAGTATCCGTGGGAGGAGATCAGGAAGGGGAGAAGCTGACCAAGTGAGCGGGGCTCTAATAGCTGGCTCCAAAATTGAACCTTTCTGGGAGCAATTGGCGCCTGTCAGAGTGGCCCTGCTGCGGCAGCAGCTGGGAGACTGACCAAAAAGCAACGCAGGGATGCAAAGACAGAGGAGAGGGGAACCCTAGCCCAGACCCACCGCCAGGGCCCTTTATTGTGTCTTTTTCTGGGTGACGCCTCTCTTGTCTTCATGCCACCTCCTCCCCACCCCTCCCATGCAGTCAGTGTGCGTGGTGCCAAACCTTGTAATTGAACCTCTGGCCGCCGGTAGTACATTTCTTGTCCCTTTTCTCCATTACCCCAGAAGCAAATCAATTCTTCTGGGTCCTCCCCTGGTTTCTGGTAGCCAGCACCTTGCAGCCTTGGCTCCTACACCCACTAACTCATCATCCTTCCATTACGCGCTTCGCACGGAGCCACATTTGCTTCCGATCCGCAGTGACCCCCCCCCCCTTTTTAACTGCAGTCCAATAATGCTGACAAGGGTGGGAATCGAAGTAATGGCTCTTGCGGCCAACTCCCTGAGCAGTCTAGGGGACGCCTAGAACGTGCTTCGCTCCTTAGCAGCATCTTCCCCGGGGAGGCCCTGCCGGCCAAGGGGAGCCGCACCAAACCCCTGCACCCCCGAGCTCCTACCCCTGGCCTCCTGCCGCCCTGGCGGCTGCTATAGAAACGCGAGGCGTACACTCTGGGCTGAAATGAAACACCCATGCTGGACGGGGACCGAGCCGGATCGGCCTGCTGCCTCGGTCACCATGGCAACGAGCCGAGAGTAGGCAGCGAGCCGCGCGCGGCGCGGGGATACTCACTCCATCGCGGGGCTCCGGGAGGCCGGGCGCGCTGCTGCGGGGCTCTCGGCGCTGCTCGCTCTGCCCGAGCCGAGCGCGAGGTGGAGCCGGAGTCGTCTGCCCTCCCCGCCCGCCCGCCCGCCGCACCCTCCTCCCCGGGAGGGTTGAAAGTGAACGCTCAGGCTTTCTCGGCTCCCAGCCTGCGAATAAAACGGGAAGCAATTGGATAATGTTGTTCGCCGGGCGCTAGACAAGCCACTCCACTTCGGGGTTTCGGGAGGGAGCGCGCCGGCAGCTGCGCGCCAGGCGATGGGGCCACCCGCGCGCAGTGCCCAGGCGCCCGCCCGCGGCGCCAGGTGCGCCCGCCGTTCCCTTGGGACAGGCGGCGCTGCGCCGAGCCTGGGGGCAGCAGCGGGCTGGGAGGGGGAGAGGGGCGGCTGCTGCGGGTGGCACAGCCCAGAGGGCGCAGGGACATGATTGAGTCATTGGCAAGGTTGCAGCTCTCGCCGCTTGGAAATTGCCAAGAGGATCCTGGCCTCCGCAACCAGCAAGGACGGCCCCCAGTGGGCTGGGCACGGGCTCGGGAGCCCCGCTGGGCCAGCCCCGCGGGCATCTGTCTGAGTTTCCCAAGGAAAAGTCCAGCTGCGTGGCGGCAAGTTAATGCGGTGTTTCATCACTTTGGTGACCCCGCGTCCTTCCCCGTGGCACTCCGTATTCGCGCCTGCCAGCAAGATGCTTGTCCGATGTAACTATTCCCTACTCTGTTTCTTGAAAAACAAAAGGTATATTGAATGCGATTCCCCAAATTACTGCAGCCCCCGCCCGTCGTAATCAACTCCTCTGGGATGTGTATTCCCTGCCTACAGCAACCCCCACCCCCCACCCTCGGGAAACCTGTGTTAACAGTTTTCAGAGCAGGAACCTGTTCCCCTCCAGGTGCCCAGCGGCTGCGATAAAAAGCACCTGGACAAGCTTCAAGCTTCCCTTGTATCTCACCGCCCAGTCCCTGACTTGGCATCTACTGGGTGCTGAGGAGGCAGCACGAAGCATTCGAATAGCCATCACAGTCCCTGCCCAAAGTGGAGCTCACCAGCCAAAGTAGAAAGACAACGCACAGACGGGAGAAAAACAAAGGCTGAAAATATTGGTATAAAAGTTAAGTAATAAGGAGCCTGGGAGGCTGAGGCCGGAGAAGTGCAAGGTCAAAGCCAGCCTTACAGCTTAAGCAGGCCCTAAGCAACTTAGCAAGATCCTGTCTTAAAATAAAATATAAAAGGGGCTGAGGATGTGGCTCAGTGGTTAAGTGCCCCTGGGTTCTATTCCCAGTACAAAAAAAAAATTAATAAAAGTGTTGTGACAGGTGTTCTAAAGTTAATTTGGGATGATCACACAGCTCTGTGAGTGACCTAAAAAACTTGGTATTGTACGTTTTGTGTGAGTTTCACAGTTAGTGACTTGTAGCTTTACAAAGCTGTTTTTGAAACATGCTCTCATGGAGAATAAATGGGGAGTGGACTCGCTTAGGTGGGGGGGGGGGAGACTTCCCTGCTCCACTGGCCTGAAGAGCAGAGGCCAGCCAGCAACAGCGGATGGCCATAGACCGGAAAGAGAGTGCTACCCGGCCAAGGACTAAGGAGGCCACTGCTAGACCTTCTAAGTGGATTTCGTGTTCCCCCTTTCCCTCTGGAAGGCGAGCACAGCCAGACCCTGTGAAGGTTCACTGAGCCGCCTGTGGCTAGAGATTCTCCATCAACTCCAGGTTCCCTTCACAAACTCTAGTGTGGATTTGGAAACCCTCAAACCCTCCCTCCACCCCTGTCCCTCTCTGTCCACCATCCTCCCTTTCCTCTTCCCTTCAGTTGCCAGGCCTCTTGACAGAATTGTCCACACCCACTGGCTTCCTGTTTCCTCCCGGTAGTAGATTAAGTTCAGTTGTGCATAATGAGGAGACTTGCCCAGGGGAGAGGGTTGATTTTCTACCTTGTAAAAGTTCAGTGATAAGCAGTCCTGGGCTAGTTGAGCAGTTCTGTTCCGCGGAGAGTTAAAAGACCCAGCCTCTTTCAAAATATTGCTCTGTCATATGTGGTCTCCCTCCCAATTCACTTCATGGTCCCAGTAGGCTGCTCTAGCTCCAGCCATCATATCTGCATTCCATTCAGCACAAAGGTAGGAGTAAAGATGAAGGGACAAAGGATGTGTATTAGCTTCCTCTTAAAGAGGGCTCACCAGAGGCTGCCTCGGGGCATTTTCAATACATCTCTTTGTTCAGAATTCAGTCACATGGTCATATTCAGTTTCCAGAGACACTGGGCAAAATGGACTTAACTGTGCACAGTCAAGAGGCTAGCAAAAAAGGGGGGGTCCATTCCCATGAAAGAAGGGGCAATGGGTGTTAAAAAGCAAGCAATCATTGCCATATTCCTCACTTCTTAGCTTTCTGGCTTCTGCCTCTCCACTGCCACTACTACCGCTCATCGAAAAGTCCCCAGTGTCACATACAATGGGAACACCCCAGTCCCCTGTTTGCATGGCCGATGAGCAATCTCTGATATTTTCACCACTCCCTGTTCCAGTTTACTGGCTCCCGTTTACTAGAACTCAGGTGGGCTGAGGTGTGATTTACATACCGTGGAATCCGCCCCCGGGGGCGCAGGTCTGTGAGCTCGAACACCCTGCACAGTGCTGACCAAACCACTGTCTGGATAGGCCCTCCCCATCGCCCCCGACAGTCCCTTCCAGTCCCTTGACAGTCAACGCACTCTCCTACCCCCAGCCCCAGCGGCCACTGACACCATTTCTGGCCCCATGTTGTTGCTGTTTTTTTGTTGTCCCCACAGTGGGACATAATGGACCAGAGGGACTTCTTTCACTTTGCAAAATGCCTTTGAGAACCATCCACGAGACAGTGTTGTGTACAGATGGTGCCTTTTTATTGCTGAGTGTTCCACTGTACAGTCGTACCAGACCTTATTCCATATCTTATACCATATCTAGATTGTTTCCAGTTTGTGGCAAATTTAAATAAAACCACCATAAACGTTCGTGTCCAGGTCTTTGGGTTGACAAGTGTTTTCTGTTGTGGTTGTTCTGGGAAAACACCTGGGGTGGCGCTTTCGGTTCTGAAACACTGTCCTCCACGATGTGAGGCCAGGGCTCTGGCTGCCCCTTCTCCCGGGCTCTCTCGCTTGTGCCAGTGCTCCGTGGGGTCTGGCCAAAGCTCCCTTGTCTCTTGCCATAGGCACCCTCCCTGAGCAATTCCACCCACTGCCATGGCTTTATTTAGCCACACCTATGGTGCTCACTTCAAAACTAAGCCTATAGCCCAGACAACTCACCTCAACTTGTAAAGTGAACCTCCAAGGCCACTGTAGCCGCTTCACAAACGCCTGAAACCCAGTTTTCACCTGCAAACCTCTCCTACTGACTGCCTGCCTATCTTAGCAACTGAAAGGGCATGCGTCCCCCTGGGCATCTGCCTTCCGCCTTACCATCCTGACCTCCCACCACCAACCAGCATTTTCCCAGGCCCCCTCCTGAATAGCCAGAGCCCTTTACTTCTCTCCAGTCCTATTTCCAGTGTTTAAGCAGCCTCCCTCTTGGCCTCCTTGCCTCCAAACACATCTTCTTCCAACTCACTCAAGCCCAGAGCACAGCAAGCTTCCAAAGACACAGATCTAATCATATTGTTTCCTTGCCTAAAAGTTATCAGTTGGACATTACTTAACCTTAAGAGAAAGGTTAAATTGAATTAAAATTAAAGGTTAAAAGGGCTGGGGATATAGCTCAGTTGGTAGAGGCCCTGGGTTCAATACCCAGCACCACAAAAAAAAAGAGTAAAGGTCAAATTAAGTTAATTAGGTACATCCTAAGTTCTTTTAAGTTAATAGATTGAGTGTAATAGTCTTCAAGTGCAACAGAAAAACAAGAATGTGTTCATTTTATAGGGCTGGGCTATACCTTATGTAGCTTCTGCTATTTTAACTGTTGGAAAAACAGCTTTAGATTCAACAGACTGTTTAAAATTCCATCATATTCTTTGCTAGCTTTGTGAGCTTGAACCCATTAATTAACCTAAGTCTCAGGTTTCTTTCCCTATAATTGTGCCTATCTTTAATGTTGTTCTGAAAAAATTAGATATAATGTATATAGTAAGTGCCTATTAAATGCAGTACTTAGTGGATTCTCAATAAATAGCAGTTCTATTACGATCATCGTTGTCAAAGTAGAACTTTCTTCTGAAATTATAAACATTTTACTAGCTTTTTTTTTTCTGGTACAAGGGATTGAACTCAGGGACACTCAACCACTGAATCACATCCCCAGCCCTTTTTGTGTATTTTGTTTAGAGACAGGGTCTCACTGAGTGGCTTAGTGTCTCGATAAGTTGCTGAGGCTGGCTTTGAACCACAATCCTGCCTCTACCTCCTGAGCTGCTGGGATTACAGGCTTGCACCACCGCGCCTGGCTAGCTATTATTTTTATTTATCTTCATAGTATCCCTTTGAAGAATGGAAACCAATACAGATAACAGACACTGAGAACAGATGAAATGAGAGAATGAACCTAGATTATAGGTTTATTAAAAGATAATGATATATTCATAAAAGTAGCATAGCAAGGAAAGCCCATACAGATACATTGATGCCCATTGTCCAATGGCTAATTTATTAACTAGCTGGTTAATAGCTAATTAATAATTAAAATAGTTAATAACTAACTAAATATCAATAACAACTAATCAACTATTAATTGGCTCATTATTTAATGACCCATCTTCCAGAAAAAACACACAGGTGGCACCAACCCACATTTTGCTTCCAATAGCAGATCGTTTATATGTGGTGCTGAGGATCGAACCCGGGCAGCACGCATGCCAGGCGAGCGCGCTACCACTTGAGCCACATCCCCAGCCCCCCCAATAGCAGATCGTTTGATGATCCCAAAACCCCTCCATTGTATGTGGACCTCAGGCCGTTGAACCTGTGAGAAGTTTGCAACTCTCTTACATATGTGTCATTACAATATTCTCACCATTCTGTAGATGAAGAAAGTAGAACTTAGAGTAGTCAAATGATAATTTGCCCAGGTCATACGTTAGCAAGCGTCAAATTCATCAC